ATTTTCCTGCTATTCTGTTATAGAGAAATCTAACAAGTTCTAAAAATTAGACAGTTGGCTTTGATTTTCTCACTGTAAGGACTATAGACTCACTTGGAGAAAGCTTTTGAGGAAGCTTTGCTTGAGATGACTGCATTTGCTCTCATCAATTTGATTATTGACTTTGAAAAAAAGAATTCTGTATAGGTTTTTATCCTGATGGGCCCTCTTGGCAGGACTTTTGCAGAAACTGAAGGAATTTTTTTTTTTATGTGACCTGAAATTCTTTGCAAAAAGATGAAATAAAACTGTTTCAGGGAAGTGTTTTGGAATCAATTATTAGATCTTACTAATTTAGATATCAAGTGAGTCAAATTCACTCACAACCCAGGTCAGGGTCTTGGCAAGAATCCTAACGGTGTAAGGTGTCTCCCTAGTTAACACTTCTGCAGGCTGATTTGCTCAATGAAGTGACTTCTGCTTCACTCTCACAAATGCTGCCCAATGTTCTCCTTGGGTTTTCTGGTAGTTTTTACCTCTCTTGTGCCACATCACTATCTGAGAGGAATTTTAGCAGAGATTGAAGCAATTTAGTATCCTAGATTGTCATTTGGGTTACTGGTGGACTTTCCCAGCCAAAGCATAAGACACAGGGTTGGAACTATGAGCAGCAAATTGGGCTGTTAAGCCTGACCTCCTTGTCCGTGCTAATCACTTCAGTTATGTAAGACACTTTGTGATTCAACAGACTGTATCCCGTCAGGCTCCTCTGCCCATGGGATTCTCCAGGCAAGATACTGGAGTGGGTTGCCATACCCTCCTCCAGACCTCCTTCTAGCCCAAATGAGTAGGTCCAGATATGAAGCATTTTTGGTGGGTAGATGTAGCTGTCTTTCTTTACATCCAATATATGACCAAAACCAAATGATGCTGGCAATAAGTCTATTTCTCTCTATTCTGCCCATTGTAAAAGTTCCTTTGTTTCTTTTCTTTGTATTTTTAAAAATTAATTTCTTTGGCTTTGCCAGGTCTTAGTTGCTGCATGTGGGATCTAGTTTCCTGAGCAAGGATTGAACCTGGGCCCCCTACATTGGGAGCCCTGAGTCTTAGCCACTGGACCACCAGGGAAGTCCCTAAAATGATTTATTTTTTATCTATCAGTTCAGTTCAGTTCAGTTCAGTCACTCAGTCATGTCCAACTCTTTGCCACCCCATGAATTACAGCATGCCAGTCCTCCCTGTCCATCACCAACTTCCAGAGTTTACCCAAACTCATGTCCATCTAGTTGGTGATGCCATCCAGCCATCTCATCCTCTGTCGTCCCCTTCTCCTCCTGCCCCCAATCCCTCCCAGCATCAGGGTCTTTTCCAATGAGTCAACTCTTCACATCAGGTGGCCAAAGTATTGGAGTTTCAGCTTCAGCATCAGTCCTTCCAATGAACACCCAGGACCGAGCTCCTTTAGGATGGACTGGTTGGATCTCCATGCAGTCCAAGGGACTCTCAAGAGTCTTCTCCAACACCACAGTTCAAAAGCATCAATTCTTCAGTGCTCATCTTTCTTTATGGTCCAACTCTCACATCCATACATGACTACTGGAAAAACCATAGCTTTGACTAAACTGACTTACACAAAGAAAAATGTATTGTATCAAATAACTGGGAGTCGACAGGTAGAGCTGACTCAAAGCATAGCATCAACAGTACTGAACCATGACGGGAAAAACTATGACCTTCCATTTTCCACCTTCTTAGGATCAGCTTTATTATGGTGACATCTGTTGTGGCTCATGCGATGTAAATCACATGTTAGAGAGAGAGAGAGAAAGCTCTTGCCAATTACTGGATCAAGAACAGTGGTCAAGGCAATGTCAGATGCCGACTGGCTTAGACTAATCGTAATTACCCTAGACTGATCGTCCTCTGAATACGGGGATGGAGTAGTATATAATCTCCACAGGAATCACATAGCATACTCAATTTCAAAAGGATTAAATAAGGTCAGGAGGAGAAGGGGACGACAGAGATGGCTGGATGGCATCATTGAACTCAATGGACATGAGTCTGAGGAAACTCTGGGAAATGGTGAAGGACAGGGAAGCCTGGCGTGCTGCAGTCCAAAGAGTTGGACACAACTGAGTGAATAAACAACAACAAAAAGGGGGCAAATTACTGAGGTGTGGTAGGGTTAAGGAGGCCAGTAAAGAATGGCGAAGCTCCCAGGGACTAGTAATTATGGGAAGATGGTGCCACCCCTGAGTCTGAGGTCCACAGAGGGAGCTGTGTCACTGAAACAAAATGAGCCATAGTCATGAGCAAGCCCTGCAGGTGGGAGCTGGGGCCAGGAGGAAACCCAGCTGGGATGCCACCCAAGGCTGACCCCACATAGGAGCCCAAGGGCAAGGAAGGCCAGGTGAGAGGGGTAAGGGGTGGGGGTGATGGGGTCAGGCTGTGATTATTTCTGGAAGGATCAATGCAGCCTAAGCATCACGTCAATGGAACAAAATCTGTTAGGAATAAGGAAGTGGGGATGTAGGAGGAGGTGGCACCCTCTATGTCCAAAGCAGCCTCAAATCCATTCTCTACCCCTGGGGCAGGGGAATCATCTAAAAGGCAGATGTAGCCCAGTCAATATCCTGCTTTGAATCTTTTTTCAATTTCTAGTGTCACCCAGTGGCATGTGGGATCTTAGTTGCCTGACATGCCCCCTTAGTCCATTACACGCCCCCTACCAAGGAAGTGTGGAGTCTTAAACCACTGGACCACCAGGAAAGTCCATTTGCCTGCTTTTAAATCTCCCCAAGTGCTCCCCTCACCTTTTATTATAAAGATCTCGGTGTGCATGCCAGGGCGAGACGTTCCAAACCCACCTTCCCTCTCCCTGCCACCTCTTCCACTGATGAGTCTGAGCTCCAGTCAGTGGATCCCTTCAGCTTTCTTCTCCCAGGTGAGCTTGTCTATGACCTTTGCTTCTTCTCAAAGTCACCCACCTGCTGCTCCCTTCAGATGGGTAACTGGGTGACTTTTGCCTCCTGCCCTTTCCACGAGACTGTGAGCCCCTCCAGGGCAAGGCTTGGCCTTCCTTCCTCTATGGAGGAGGATCTGTGGGATGATTTTCCACCTAAACGAACCCTGAATTCATTCTATTCAGCAACTTTTATCACCATCCAGGAGAGCACTGCCTAGGGCTAAGCCCTTGGTCTACATCTCATAACCTTAACCAAATCTCTGAACTTTTTGAGCCTATTTCCTCATTTATAAAATAGAGATTAAAACATAACTTTTGGGATGTTCTGAGGCACAAACATCATACTTTGGCCACCTGATGTGAATAACTGACTCATTGAAAAGACCCTGATGCTGGGAAAGGTTGAAGGCGGGAGAAGGGGATGACAGAGGATGAGATGGTTGGATGGCATCACCAACTCGATGGACACAAGTTTGAGTAAGCTCTGGGAGTTGGTGATGGACAGGGAAGCCTGGCATGCTGCAGTCCATGGGGTCGCAAAGAGTCAGACATGACTGAGTGACTGAACTGACTGACTGAGGCACAAATGTAATAATTGTAAGTCTTCTGGTACCTGCTGCCAGGTTCCTAATGTTTTCCACCATCTAGTTCCCATGCTGTGCTTAGTCACTCAGTCATGTCCAACTCTTTGTGACCCCATGGACATGCCAGGCTACTCTGTCAATGGGGATTCTCCAGCCAAGAATACTGGAGTGGGTTGCCATACCCTTTTCCAGGGGATCTTCCCAACCCAGGGATTGAACCAGGGTCTCCTGCATTGCAGGCAGATTCTTTACCAACTGAGAGTTATCAGGGAAGCCCCAGTTCAGTATTCCTTGCAATCTTTTAGTCTAGCCTGCCTCCCATGCCTAGGCCAAGGCCTTGACCTTGGCTCCACCACAGCCCTGCCTCTTGGCCCCTGAGCCTTCTGGAGAGGGTTCATCTGACCTAAGCCCCCTTCATGGACACCCAGGTTACACTTCATCTTCTTTCTCTGAGCTCCAGCTAAACTTAGGCTCACACTTCAGGGAATGAGGTCAGAAAACCTGCTTGGAAATTGTAGACAATGGGGCTTCCCTGGCAGACCAGTGGGTGAGACTTTGCCTTCCAATGCAGGGGATGTGGGTTCGATCCCTGTCTGGGGAGCTAAGATTACTCATGTCTCCTGGCCAAAATAAAACAAAACAAATATGAAACAGAAGCAGTATTATAACAAATTCAATAAATACTTAAAGAAAAAAAAAAGAAACTGTAGATAAAACAAAGAGGACTCTTTAGCAGAGGTGAGATGTTACTTGACCTCCAATCTAGTTCTGACACTTCTAGAAACAAAGGACAATGAGTCTCAAGTCAAGATATTTTAAAAAACTACTGCTTTTACTAAGCAGTGACAAAGGCTGTTACTATCCTGTGTGTTAATTTCAGTTGGACATTTTACCACCATCACTGGAGAAACCAGAGTCAGGGACCTATTATTTATCTTCACAGTGACCAAGAGCTGGCTGGTGCCATTCCCACGGGGTCAGCATCCCCTCCCCTAGCCTTTTTCCAGCAGGGGTGCAATCTGCCCCTCTCCCCATTATTGTCAAATCATCCACTGGCTTTCTTTGATCTTGCCTGTGGCACAGAAATAACTCTATTTAGGGCCTGTCAATCTGTATAAGATTTATCGTAAAATGAATGTGGCATACAACGAAAAGTTGCATTCTGCTGCAGTCTAAGATTTAGAAAATGGAGCAGAAATAAAAGATTCCCAAAGTATGAAATATTTGAATTGAATAAGGCCTTCTCCTCTGACCCCATCTCCCCTCCTCCTCAACCCCCCTCCTTCACCCCAAGCCTTCCAACACAAAACGGAACAGCAGTCCAAGCTGGCCTTGTCAGGCAGCAGCACCGACTCCAGGAGGGCTGCATAATGCATTTACATAATTGCACAAATTAGAGATACCTCGGAATGAAAGGTTTCCTGGTGCTTTTTCTCTGCCCTTTCATTTGCTGGTCGCAAAATTACCAGCTCTCCCGTGGCGCTGCAGGCTCTCCTCTCGCGGGTGGAGGAGCCCTGCGTGGCTGGGTCTGCAAAGGGCCAGCAGGCGACCCACCCGCACTGCGCGTGCGCAGGTGACTCCCGGGCCAGGTGCTCGCCCTCCCCGTACCTGTACCTCCACCTCCGCCCTCACCTCCAGGGGCTGCAAAACGAGAGCCAGGTCAGGTGGAGTTCCTGGGCACGTGTTTAGGAGAGAGCTTGTCTTTCCCACCTTAGATTACAAGCTGCCCTCTAAAAAGTTCTGGGAGGGACGTCCTTGGCGGTCCAATGATTAAGACTTCTCCTTTCTTTCTCTTAGGTCTGATAGCTTTTGTGGAGCAGCTGGGAGTGATTTTCTATGTAGAACAGACCGGGTGATTCTGAATGAAGAATCCAATAAAGACCTCAGAGAGAAGGGTTGGAAATAAGAATGAAGAGATTTGGGGACTTCCCTGGTGGTCCAGGGGTTAAGACTCTACCTTCCAAGGTAGGAGGTGCTGGTTTGATCCCCAGTCTGGGAACTAAAATCCCACATGCCTCTTGACCAAAAAACCCAGAAACATAAAGCAGAAATAGTATTGTAACAAATTCAGTGAAGACTTTTAAAAATGGTCCATGTTTAAAAAAAAAATCTTAAAAAAATAGTGAAGTGATTTTAATGTATGAAATATAGGCAAACAACAAAGCCCTACTGTCTAGCCCAAGGAACTATATTCAATATATTGTAATAACCTACAATGGAAAAGAATATATAATACTAAGTCATTTGCTGTACGCCTGAAGCTAACACAACATTGTAAATAAACTATGCTTCAAAAATAATACAGAAGAAAGGAAAGAAATCGAAGGTCAGAGAAGTGAAGTGATTTGCCCAGGATTACTCAATTAAATACGTATCAGAATTAGTTCTCTGTTTCTTCCATTATTCCACAGCAATCCATGTCTCCCAAACTAATTATTCTACCAACATCCACTGCCAAGTTTTCAATCGTAGTTTACTTCCTCTGACCATACTTTTAGCCAATGGGTCTAGACAAAAATAAGAGAATTAATAGGATATAAAATTGCAGGGCAAGTTTGCATAACATTAGAAGTAAGATACAGCCAAAGGTTATAACTAAATGAAATTCATGACCCTTTTAAACCATCTTTTCCTCCTTTATATATATATATATTTTTAAGTAGAAATGGGTGAGTAAATCTCTAGCTTCTGTGCTCACTACTACAGAAGTTAAAATCAATGGAACTCTAGTGTAATTAAAAATTAAAATGACCTCAGTGTTTTTCATGGAAATAAAAAGACCTCATGAATAAAGAATTACCATTATGCAAAAAATAAAGGAGAAAGGGGTTTTCATTCAGTAGACATTGCTCTACACTCTGGGGACAAAAACAACCCCCAACCATTGATGGGCATCATCTCTCAGCATTAGAAGCTCCAGGCTGGAATTTCCTTTTTAATGAGAAAATGGTCTTGAATGGGGGAAAAGAGGACTGTGAAGGGGCTTATTGGGTTGGCCAAAAAGTTCGTTTGAATTTTCTGTGACACATGGCTGGAAAACTCGACTGAACTTTTTGGTCAACCTGATACATTGCTCACAGGAGCCAGGTGGAGAGAAAAGACTGGGAAGAGAAGGAGTCTCGTCTACCAAGAAGAGCTTTCAGCTCGGATGTTTTCAGAGGCTGGAAAATGGCAGTGATGAGAGACTCTTGGTAAGACATCTCCCACCCAGAATAGACAGCATCCTGTGTCCAATAGAGAAGCAGGCAAGGAACCCAACTAGAGAGTAGTTTATACCTGATTCACAGGCACAGCCTTCATGAAGAGAGTTTAATGAGAATGGCTTGGAGAAGGTGGGGCTGTGGTTAGAGGCTGTAGTCCTGAGATATGTGGCAGACACCCTGTTAACAGTAGGTAACTCTGTTGACTTAAGCCCAGGGTCAAGCCTGTTGCTCTTGTTTCAGAGCACAGTGCTTCTGACTTACAAGAGCTGCCTTTACCTCGCAGTTACATAAGCTATTTTCATTCGGTGTTCCTTGATTTGGGTGGACCTGATTTCTGACCAGAAAACTGAAAAAATACCCAGCTAAATTCATGCAAAGATCTACCTTTTAACATTGTGCAGCTGCCTCTTTGTTTTCTCAGACTCTAGAATTTGGTAGTCATGTCCAGCAGAGGAAATTCACTATCGGCTTGAATGACAGACAGTCTCCCTTAGTCTCCGTTTGGGTTTGTAGTTGATTCATGACCTCATGCATAGGGAAATCCTTTCTCAATCTATCAAGTCACAGCAGACTTTTCTCACAGCAAAATGAAGGCAGCAGAGCTATCGGATTCCACTGGTTTTTCACAGAGATTTCCAGCAAGTGGCTTGCATTTTCTCACCAGATCTAACTTCACACCTGGGTTCGTTTAGAAACTGTTTTCTCAGGCCATGATCAGATGATCGCTATGATCCCATGAGCAGATGCTTGCTGTGATGATCCCATGAGCTGAAGTCTTCTGGTTCTCCCCTTTAGCTCTAGGGTCCCACCTCCTAGTACTCTCAGAAACCCCCACTCCTGCATTCCCTGCTCAGCCCTCCTCCTTTGCAAACAGCAGAATTAGGGGAAACAAAAGTTACTCCTTCATTAGGAAAAAGGGGTCTTAAACTGAAGGGTCATGGGTGAAGGAGAAGGGGACAAAGACCCTCAAGGCATCAAAAACTTTAGGCTCTGGGGTGGACCACTTGGAGGAAATAGATGCTCAGAGTCACAGATCTAATGCAATGCAGGAAAGCAAGTAACTCCAATTCCTAGCTTTTCCATTCCCTTCCTTTTACCTTTTTCTTCTCTCTCTCTTCCTCCCTTTCCCACTTGTTAAATGCACTGATGTTCACAAGGTCTCCTAGAAGAGTGCGTGTAAATTTTTTTTTTAATCTGTGTTCTGCAAGCAGAGGTCCAGTTATGCATTTTTGTCAGCATTTTCCTTCTCTGCACAAGTTGAGCATCTGTCATCCTGTCACTTATTCATGGATTTATTTGTGCATTTCAGATACTAGGCACATACTTTGTTCTAGTTCTAGTGCTTTAAAACAATGTGAGCTAAGATTTACTATTCTATTAGCAGGCCCTATACTAAGTGTTTAATAAGCTGAATACATTCACTGAAAGGTCCTGACAGCTTATTCCTGCCTGTTTTCCAGATGCAATTTGGGGTTTAAGGGACATAAATAACTTGTCCTCAAACAGCAGAGCCCGGGTTTACACACAGCAGCTTGATGACAGACTTGAACTGTGATCTGTGTTTCCTCTTTCTAGGCCACTGGTTCTCAAACTTTAGCTCCATCGAAATGACCAGAAGGGCTTTTTTAAGCACAATTTTCTGGGCCCCACTCCTAAAGTTTCTGATTCTTAAGGCTGATAATTTGCATTTCTAACATGTTCCCAGATGGTATTAGTGAGACCCCTATGTTGAGAAACGCAGATCCAGTCCCCATGTGTGCCCCCATCCCTGTGTTTCCAGTTGCTTTAGGAAAGATGAAATGTGAGATTGCTATTAATTTGCAGCTGGCTTATACTGCACCCATCAGTGGAGGAGCCAGGAGGCCACAGTGCTGCTTCTCCTGAACTGAATCTGTATCTGTGATAGTGTCTCAGTTTTTGGTCTTCCCTCAGTGCTTCAGAGGAGGAAGCTGTTTTGAATTGAGGTGCTGGTTGTTCCCAGTGGCTGGCTGAAGACAACATTTCCTGTAACTTGGGATGTCCCAGTGTGCAGGAGTGGAAGTCTTACAAACAATATAGCACAGAGTCATCCCCCAAGTCATTTCTGCTCAATCTACTGGGTCAGAGTCTAACTAATCTAGAGCACCATTCTGAATCTTGAAAGCAGATAGTAAAAACAGCAGCTGTACTGAGACTGTTTATTTATTTAATCCCTCATGTAAACACAGTGACAATGACGGATCATCACTTGGCTCGTCAACATGACCGAGTTCCAGCAGGGACCTTGTCCTCATGTGAGCCCACTGGCCTTTTCCTGTGTCCGCAAACAGTGGCAAAGAGGAAACAGAAGGGAACTATGAGTGAGGAAATGGTGTTGAGTTGCAAAACAAGGATAAAACAATCGGTGCTACAATTCCCAGGATAAACAGGACCCTGCCGGGTTGAGGAGGTCCAAATCCTAGCAGGACAGTTCCGGTCTCTGGCACCAAGGGTATGCCCTTTTTGCAGCCTTGGACTTGTCGTGCCCCTAAGGAAGCTATTTACAGTTTTGCACAGTGGGACAGTTTTATGAGCCAGCCCACTCATTTTTATGAGGGTCCCCAGGGTAAAGCAATTCTACAATCTTACACCAGCGCACCGACATCAGCTCAGTACAAACAATATAAAGTAGGCCATCCAGGCCTGTAAAACAGGCACTGCCAAGCGGTTGTGATTTAAGTTCAGTTCAGCGGTGACCTGGCTCATTACGATAAGATAGAGGAATGAATAGAGCCTACGCAGAGAGAAAGAGCGAGTGAGTGGGAAATAAATAATTCACTGGGCTCCTTCCAGAGGCTGTAAGTTGAAGGGACTGAAATCCTGGTATCAAAAAAGGACCCAAACTCCATCACTAGGATGGTCTTTCAAATGACTTTTCAGATTTGTTGGCTGAAGGAAATGACACCACCTTCAGCCAAATATTTGGTCAGCACTCCATCATCAACGCAAGAAGGCTTTCAGGTCTTAATATGGCTTTCTGTGATAAACCAACTTTTCCCCAGTGAAACTGTCGAGCACTGAGGTCTCTGGCTGTGCTTGTATTTACAAATGAGTGTGCTAAGCTTTGACTTCATAAGAAGACAGGGTTAATTATGAACCAGACTATGGATCTGAAATTTATCAGCAGGCTAAGTAGTTGGTGACTGCCCCAATCAGAGTCAGCTTCCAGGAAATGAAACGGGACTTATTTACATTTAGAGTGATGCCCAGCTTCTTAATCACCTCAAAGCATTTAAAAATTAACTTTCCTTCTAGCAGCTCAAGAGGCATAATGAACTCTGGGAGGGCGTTGGTTACTCTGGTTCCCTTCTCCTCTGGAGCACCCTATTCATTATTTCAGTCTGTGTTCTTTGCCTGTGTCTTTTTGTTAAAACTTGGAAACTTTCTGTTTATTTGGTAAGTCTCCCGATAAAGCCGTTTTCTACAACCTCACCAGAATTGCTAATGATCACTGGGATAACTGAGTGTATGGGTACAATAAGAGACGGGAATCATTCTGCTGAACTTCCTTTTATATGAAATGTTTCAGCTAAATAGGTCAGTTAGCAAAAGATTATTATGGATTACATGTGCTGGACAAGA